AAACTGATGATCGTTTATATGAGTTACCAGGAATATAAAGTAAACCTCTTCTCCCAACGTAACGTTATCCGAAACAATGAGCGTGGATTTTCAGAACACCGGCTATCTAAGTACTATCAAGTTCATCCATTTCACTGAATCCCGAGTGAAGTTTTATGACGCTTACGGTGTCTCACAAGACAATGATCAGTAAGAGGGGACGGACTGGACAACCTCTACAGAGCAGTCAACTTGATGACAGTTGAGTCATGAGAAAATAAAACAAAAGTCACAAAAAGCATGCTGCGAAATATATCGCCTGTTTCTCATCCTTCTGATTGTGAGACGGTGTGTGGAATACTCGGTTAGCATAAAATTCATCAGATTTAAAATAAAGTAACTTAGGCAAATCACACATGATGTTTGGGTAGTGTGTGGACGAAATTCGCGACTGATCATGAGCTATATTGTGCTTCACGAGATTTCGGAATGCTGGATGATCAGCAGTAAAAAGCGAACATATCATGCCACAGAACCCAGTGAAAAACAGATGTAAGAGCCAGTACGCTCAAATGAAAAAAATCAACAATGGTCATGGTGAAACAGTTACAAAGTAAAATTGGAAATCAGTACACGAAATACGAGGACAGTGAAAAGAGAAGCGTTTGTCAGAAACCAGTCACTAGAAAAATCAATCGAGAGCATTTTGAGGAAGACCATACGCTAACCAAAGATGTGCTCCATGTAGAACACTCATATATTGCACCAGCATGGTAAAAAGTTGACGACATATGTGAGTAGGTAGGAATAGAACGCCGTTGTGAGCCACAGGGAAATTACTTTCTAATCGTTCCAAATCATAATCACAAAACGATGAAACACCGACCCTAAAACAGACCACATTTTGTCCGAAATGTACCAAACATATAAACCACAAGTATTTAAACAGCATGAACAATTTAGGATTGGATTGTATGAAGCATGCAAAACAGCTGCACTGGACTATCTGACATCATGTTTCAAGTATGAGAAAAAATGATATTGAAATAAGGCGATTCTCAGTCACTGTGTTAATACTTTTACTCTATTGAAAGCTATGTCCTTGGAAAATATAAGTTGCAAGATACCATGATTACATGAGTTTTTCGTCCGCTTTCAATGAAGCTTTCAAATGGAGCTTACAAACGCACCATGAAAAACAAAACTTCAAAGTTGAAAACGCTATTTATAGGAAATACTGGGCTAAACAACTCACCCGAAGTTGGTGACGTCAGTGCAGCTTTTTCAAAATCTTTTAAACAGAAATCCTTACGACAGGAATGTTTCATTGCATTTGACTAGTTATTATTATATTCAATTGGAAGTGATGACTATGCCAAGCGGAAAAATTTTGGAACGTAGGTGTGAGGTGAAAAGAGTATACTGTCACTGGATCTCTGCTACATGTTTTTCGCTTAACTACGGACATGCACTAAGGGAGTTTGATGCCCATGTACAAATATGTTTATATTTGTACATGGGCATGTAAGTCGTCACTGCATTCTGCATTGATAACGAGCATGATATGCAACGTCACCCAATCGCAGGACATAAATAAACATGCTGCAAATTTGGTTTATTTCGCAATTTGAGATTTCACCGTTGTTCACATAATTTGCAACCCCAAGTATCACAGCCGTGATTCAATGACCTCAGCATTCGAGGGAAAATTAGGATTGCTGCTTTTACTGGATAGACTTCCAAAAGAGAATAAGGAACAGAAAGTGTAAAGAGTCTAGGGATTTTATCTATTTCGACCGGTTTGCATGGCTTGCTGCATTTCTGAATCAAGGTAGCTTATTTATCGATAAACCAAATCGATGACATGTTTTAAATCCAATAGAAATTGAGGTCAATGCCGATCTACTCATCGTATGCTGAGACAACTGATTAGGCGTTGCAGTATCCCGAAATATCGTACTAAACCGCCCATAGAGATTCATCAATCAGGATAAACGCATATTTGTTGCACAACATTTGCAATTTGTCGTCATTTCATTTGCCTTATCCATATGTCATTTTTGTGATCAATATTATCAACCGTTGTCATCGATTTTCGACAAATCTATAATTCTAACCGTGAACCGAAAGCACCTTACTGTTTTATTATGGATCCAAGGAAACCTTCTGGTATCCCAGCCAAACGGCGGCAATCACACTGAGACACAAGAGTTACTAGGACACTAATAACTACGCCACAGGAAGAAGTCTTCGCCTTGCAGAGCAAACACATTCTAAGTTCAACCCAGTTTTAACGGCATAATCAACGCATATTTAGTTCACATAGGATTATGATAAGTTGTTCTACCTAACCTTTTTATGAAACGTTTTCCAACGTTCTTCTTATTTTATTTCTCATTGTCTACAACCAATGTCTCTGTTTTCATTTTTCATTTTCTACTAGGCCTCTCCTTAAACATTCGTGCCGCCGGTTTCATTTTTGCTGCCCTGTTTGATGGAAGGATACACGGAGGACTAAAACCCTCACAGCATTATCAAGATCATAACCAAGTATTCTCATGAATTTGGCTTGAATAGAGATTTAGGAAATCCAAGACGCACGAATTACATAGATTCCCAAACACAGCTGCACTACTCAGTGTCTATAACCAATGTTTTACCGTTTTCAGTGATGTCCATCCAAACAATATCATTTTATTCACCGGATAAATTTTCCTGCCTAGAGAGTTCATTCCCTCTTTTCTTTTATACTTTCATACTGTCGTTTGACATTTATCACATTTGAATGAATATCTTCCAAACGACTGATGCCGTTTTCCCATGAGATACCCTATTACTCGTAAGTGGACCGACATTCATGCTCCCGTCGAACTACACTCAAGGTCAAATAAGGAGTCATTCTAACAAATATTGTCTATGTTAATTCAACTGAATTTGGATTACGAATGGCATGTAATTGAATCGTATGTGATATATTATCACAAGAATGCACTTGCATTAGTGCCTGACATCTTGTTATTCTAAAATTTGGAAAATAGTATCAACGCAGGTCATATAAAATCCTTTGATATAATTATTTACTGCAATGATCAGAGAACACATGAGGTAAAGCAGCACAATTCCTCGATGGTAGAAAGTCAGGGGCTCTACCAAACAATAATACGTAAGTGCGCCCGATAAAGAAAACGGATTGATATGTGCATGCTCTACCGATGAACAATATTGTTAATTCAATGTTCCCAGATCATCCTCAATGTGGGGGAGAACCAACAATGGGAATAATGAAATATTGGTATGACGACGCATCTCACCATTGAGTGGAAATATATCTCAGTGGATAATATAATCCGAAATCTGCTTTCGAATGTGGTAATGAATGTAACCAACTGAAAAATTCTGTTAGTCCATCGGGTGAGCTATTTTGATCCAATAATAGAGAAATGAGTGAATACCGATTTTCAACTGAATAAAAGTCGATAATATACCCCCATATCAGCCGCGAAAAACATTAGACACTTGTGGAATTGGTGTTTAGCGTACCCTTATCTCGGTTGTTAAAAGGGTGAGGAACCTTGATTGTAATCGTATGAGACAGGATCTCAAGACTTATCATTGATGAGGAATACGCAAGATTGCTTAACGGAACTACTCGGAACATTGTGCAAATCATCCTAGGATGCTAAGCTCCTACGCACACATAATGCGAGCATCATGAACACGGTGGACGGAAGTCCATAATGTATCCAAAAATGTGTCGAGGAACATCCGAGAGAATCGTAGCTATAATGTATGGCGTACCTTTATATTCACGACCGTTGGGTCAAGGAACCGCGGCGCGAAACGTTTATCACAACCGGTTTGATGGGAAATACAGGAAACCGATTCATTAAACTGACTGAAACACTGATGGTAACGTATGTCATACAAACAGACACCACTAAAAACGTGATACGATTATGTTCATGTTGACCACAGATGATTCAATACAGATGAGGTTCCAAACTAGTAATTTCTTTAGTTACTCAGGTACATTGTAAATCTCGAAATCTGTTTTATTCTTCTGAAATAAACACATGACCGCTTGAAAGATAAATCTTGCTTTACAGGAATTGAAGTGTGATGAATCCATGATTGTTAGGGAATTTCAATCAGGAAGCTGTTCACTATGAACAGCAACTGGTTTATAGCGTAGACCAATATTTCAAACCATCGATGTTCTTACGTTTCATTTAGTTGAGTCCTCAGTGGTCGTCAAATGCAAAACTGCCAACCCCTCAGGTACTTTTGATTCACAACATTGTTAAAAGACCTCTGCAAATGTATCAGTATACACCATGTTAACCAACGTCAATTTAAACAAGCTGAAAGCACACACTGTTCCTAAGGATATATAACTGTATACTAATGCAATATGGCTCGTTCTGCTGTTTTGTTTCGACGCCCACATGCGTTGGTATTTGGCAGAAATACACCAAATTTTACCTAACTTTCACACCAATCCGGAGACCCTTCAAAACATCACGTGACTTGATCAACCAAACTATCGTATCTACATTCTTTGACACGTTCTTTCGACAAAACATATAAAAGCAGCAACGTGCTTAGACAAGCCAGTAAAACGGGACAAAAAATGAATTCAATCACTCGAAGCGTTCTAATCCTGATCGTCTGCATTTGCGGATTGATCGGTAAGATTTGATGCTCCTACTTCATGGAACTCAACTATTTCCAGAGAGTCAATCCACAGAATGCACCCAAACCTACAACGCTACGACGGAAGAGAAAAGTTTCACCGTGGATTCGTCAAAATCAGGTTGTCAAGGGCTCGTTCAACCGGCCGACGGTAAGAATGTGGACGTCTTCCTGAAACCTGAATCGGTGAGTTGACAGTATTGGATGCGAGGCAAATAGATAAATGTTGATTCACGCGATATATTTGACTGATTCGATTTGTATTTTGTCTTGTTAACTTACTAGGGTGGTGAGAGCAAGTGTGTAAAAGTTGCCAGTGGGTCAAACTCTCAAACCATATGTGCCGCAGCGACCGGGAATTCCTTCTCGTCATCGGCTGCAGTTGAGGTCAGTGCAGTGTCATCAACTACAGGGTCATCCACGACTGCGGGGTCGACCACCACGTCGTCATCCACGGAATCGACAACCACAGCCTCGACAACAACAACAACAACAACAGCGGGCGCAGGAGCTGCGGCGATGCGCTCTAAACGGGATGCCACATCAGCACCTAAGACTGAACAAACCATCACTGTCTACTATAAATCGAGTAAGATTTTACATACATGATAGTTGATTGCACCAAGTATGTCTATTTTAAAAATATGTGACGCGTTCATCCATTGTTCATGAATCTGAATTCAAATTCAATTAAACAATTCATTTCTGGTCTACTCACGTTTCGTTTTAATCACCTCATGCCTTGCCAACATAAAACAAAATCAGATGGCGTCTGTCAACGCGCACTCTCTGCCTTGGTGGGAATGGGATCAATCTTGTACCTTATCCAAACCAGCCTGTGGTAAGCATATGTATGCAAACTTCTGTTCATTCAAAGTATCGGCTTTTGTGCAATAGACGCATTAAGGTTAAGGGGTTTAGTGTCCACAATTTCTTGGTTCAAAAATTTGATCGAATTACCGTAACTGACTGTACCTTCATTGTTTCCGTTTTTGAACATTGATTTATTTATTTGACTTGACTGAGTTAACAAATGACATCAAAATAAAATGGATATCGCTTATCCCATTATCATTGCCATCCTCTTCATTCTTTCAGAAATGCACCCGATTGGTTACAAAATACCTGTCTGATTGTAACTAGATAACTGAAACTTATCTTACCCCGTTCTGGTTGTTACTAGACCAAGTTTAACATTCGTCCTAAATAGATTGTATATACTTGCTGATTGTTGTTTTCTTATTCAAGCTGAAACGATACACAATGACAAAATAATCCAGTTCATGTGTTTTGATAACAGAGCCGTTTCGCAATTTTATTGATATTCATTCACACATGTTCAAGTGTGGAGATACACATGATTGTTTATTTCTTATTCGGAAACGAAATTCTGAACTATGGTACCGGGGAAGAATCGTCACATGTGAGTTACAGCACGAGCATACATGGAAAAACTGACCCACAAGAAATAGGCTTGTCGTTACAGAAAATCAACGCGTACTTCACAGATTACCACTTGCAAATTAATCGGACAAAGTTGCAGCTTAGTCGTACAGATTAACGGAGATAGAAAAGAACAAAGCACAGCTTCAAGTTCACCCAGAAGATTTTAGATATCACTGAGTCTCGGTTTCTTGTTTTGAACGTAACCGGTCACCTTGCACTAGAACTGATCATTTCACACGTTCTGAAGATTTTTCGCGGGATAAACCGCAAGAACCATGCAACATTGGACTGGACGAGATTAGGACGAAATACATTCAAAACAAACATCATGATAACGTGGGAAGGGTTTTCTCTGAAAAGAGACATCTTTGTTGGCTCGTTTGCGAAATCGGCTCATTCTATTGCTTGGTCCCAGCAAAGAACACTACAACAGCAAAACTGCCATCTTATCAATGAGATTTTAAATGGAATTGTGGAACCTGTGCTATTTACATTCTACCTATGTCTATGCACAAACGAACGAGAGCGTGTTTCATTAATTTCTTCATTGGGTATCGCGTTTCGGTTTTGTACTAATGAGCAATAAGGATATTGATCCATGCCTCTACGCACGTATAGGGGAATGCAACACTTAACATATCACTTTAATGAGCGAACAATTAGAATTCAGCACGTTCGACAAGCTACAATTAGGAAAACGTTCAGCATTTTAAAAAGAAGAAATATACGTTTACCAAATGAAACACAAACGGATTAGATAAAATCCTAATGTGACAGATGATTATTAAAGTCAGTATTAATATTTGCTCGGTTGACCGAGATACGAGGAAAGTAAGGAATCAACTGTTTTTGTGTGGTGGTGCGTACACAGGAATCCAACATTTGGAACGAGTACACGGATGAGATACCGATTTATTGAGATGGGAGTGCATGCAGTGTTCATCGTTGCACAGGATGTGGCTGTTAAATCGATCGCATAAATCAAAACCCACAATATAGTCGACCAAAAAGGTATTTGAATTGCCCCTGCAACGAAAAAGGAGTTTAAGACATATGTAAAATAGAATAGTCTTTCTCTTTTAAATCAGGAAAATATTCGAGGAAATAGTAAAACCAAATAAGGATGCATGCAGTCAAAAAAATTAAGAAACACGTTTACGGAAACCGCGAGATTTTTAAACCTAGAAGCGTAGAAGGATAGCCTACAAACCCTAATATAAATATTATCAACATTTTGGGACCAAGGAGGATTGTGTGACAAAGCAACTCCTAGATATTTCACAGAGTTAGTTGGGGATATTACCATTAACAGAAAGTTCGGTCTGACTACTCACAAGGGTTTGATAAGGCATGCCTGTTTGAGGGCTAAAAGAAACATCCACACATTTAGCCTTACAGATAGCGGCGTCGACCGTCAATCATTTTATTTAGACATACTTGAAGTTGACAGAAGCAATCAGGAACAGTCGAGGGACAACCGACCACTTATTCATCAACATACTTGCAGGCGATAAAGTTGGGAGGAATGGGAAAATCCTTAATATACAGTGAAAAAAGAATTAGAGACCAAATTGCACCCTGAAAAACTCCAGTGTTAACTTCTAGCAGGGAGGAAGATTTACCGTTACAAAAGGTGTATTGCGTCCATTGAGTGAAATAACAATTAGTACATTCAGCAATTTAGGTGTCAGACCACATCCCGAATGACGTTGAATAAGAATGCCGCGGTCAAGTTATCCGAAAACATGAACATAATCAAGAAACGTTAAACGGACGATGCTAACCTCTTTATTAAGTGAGGATCAAACGAAGTGAGCAAAGTGAAAAACAGCATCAGGAGTGGTAATCGAATCTTTGTAAGCAAACTGAATAGTCATGGATGACAGATAAATGATCAGCCGATTAGGAAGGACTCTTATGAAAACCTTCAATAATGTTGATATGTAAGTAATCCGTCGATATTTGGAAGATCCTGTTTTTGGACTTGGTGTTTTCCCAGCAGTTCTCTAACAACGAGAGATGCTTTCAGAAGATATACACAAATAAAAAACTAGGAAATAGGTGGAGCAAGTTGTTCAGCACACTCTTTCAGTAGGCAGGGTGACAATGAATCAGGGTCATGTGCCTTGTTAGATTTAAGGGACTTCAGTACATTCAGGATTTCCACAGGGGTGACAGATTTGTTCTTCCCAGGAGATCTAAATACAGATGGTGTTGAGTTCCATGCAGTAGCATTTGCGAAGTGACGGTTTAACTCCGCAACATCCGGAAACGCTCTGTTGCGTGATCCACAATGCTGCTTCAAAGCAGACCAAATATTATTGCGGCACTGGTTTCCCATAAGAGTTTCAATAGATATGCGATTTAGGCGCCAAATTTCCATTATGACCAATAATGATAGTTTGACAGCGCTGCACCTTCCAGTTATGTAAGCCTTTTCTTTATCACGACGAAGACGTTTTAGAAGAGGCTAAGAGAATCTGTCATTTCGAATATATAAGGGTTCACCTATGTAATACAGGTCATAGGAAAAAATATGATAACATGTAAGATGCTCACAACTATAAGAGTTGTCAGCATTGGAAAATACAGTATTACTGGTAGATGAAACCATATATCCAAGTAAGGATATGTTATCAGGAAGGAGACTTCTCCTTTTGATGGTTCTAGATTTGAAACGGTTCATTTAGTGATGAAAGTATTTACCGTAAATCTTGGGATGCAATAGTCAATACTTATGGGAGGCTGCTACCCTTTGAAAAGGATTCCGGGGCTATCAGCAAAAATCCCGCCAATTTGGATACCAAGCCGGGTAGGAAAACTTACAAGATTTGTCAGACCTATTAAAATCAAAAAAATTACCAGCAGCAATGCATTTAGACTGGTCCAAACCTGTCACAAGTTGTGAGGAAAAAAAGTTGACACAAACGAATATCAGAGGCAGGCGTGTCTCGAGCGATCTAAATGTTCGCTAATGTAATGTGATGAAAATGACTGAGAAATCGGGGATTACAATATACGAAGATACATACATAAATCGAAAAGATTTACGAGCGTTTTTACACGAATTCCTGTTGACGAAAGAGACCACTCCACCACCTCCGTGAAAGAAGTTCGCATTACGATCGCCTCAGAATATGTCAAATCCATCAAGATGCACTACGCATATCCATATCAGGGTTTATCCAGCTTTTCCGGAGTAGAGTTACCCCTAATTTCTTGCATTCCTTCTGATGTATCATGCTGTTGACATCACCTAGTGTTCCCATGAGCGAATGGATGTTACATGAGATAATAGACGCAACTGTCAAATTAGCAACAGAAGGTGGCCTAAGCGCAACATGCCAGCCAGCACGGTGCTTTTTATTGTGACCTCGAACAGATTTCGGCAGTCATTTGAAGCGATTTCTCACAAAATGAGCAAAAATCAGAAACTGATGGTTCTGCGCTATAAACTGCAAGGATTTCAAAAATGTGGTGTTGTAGGACAACATTTGACCTTGAGAATTTGAGCTGGTTAAAATGTAATGACCACGTGTTCCTTCACTGTAATTTCACCAAATAATATTCCACAATAACTAGGCACTACCAAATGTAAAGGTCCCGCCAGGACTAGCAGTAAATTCCAGTGAATCACACCAATGGCATTCTACCACGAACACAACAAATCGATTGGTTCTTCTACCATTAGACGTCATCGAGTGGACCGCGTCTATCAAACCCCGTCCACTCAGGGTGAACTGGTTCCTCGGTAGACAAAGAAAAGTACATTTTAAGTGAGTTCTCGGGTGGCGAGGAAAGCTTCGGTAGGGTGTGGTTTGATTGTTCGTCCCTATTTCGCCCCAACCGTGTATGTTATTCACTTGACCGTTGATTGTGCGAACTTCAAACGAGAATGAACAAACCTCGTGCTAATTGGCCTCAGTCGGCTTAGTGAGGAAATGAATCGTGTAAAATAATGGATGGATAAATAGGTTACCACTCTCAGGCTTGATTAATGGAATGATTCATTGCATGATGGGGTTTGGTCTTAGTCGTCAATAGCCAGGTGAGAGAATTCCACTGAGATCGTGATTCGCTCGAATAACACCAATTCCTTTGAGCGAAATGCACTTGCCTTCAT